GGCGTCATTTGAGAGTTCCATTGCAAAATGCGTCTCCTTTTTCCAATCCCTTTTCCTCTGTTACTGATTTAGTCCCTGGATATGTTCCAAAAGGGAAGACTTTCACTGTCTCTTACCTCGTAGATTCACTGGGTTTTACTGCAAAGCTTGCAGGATCGATCTCGAGGAAAGTCAGTTTCGAGGACAAGGGTAATCCTGATTCTGTTCTTAATCTTCTTAGGAGTCATGGGTTCACAGATTCTCAGATCTCCACCATCATTACGGATTATCCACGATTGCTTACAGTAGATGCTGAGAGATCACTTGGTCCCAAGCTTCAGTTTCTGCAGTCCAGAGAAGGAGCTTCAAACTCTGAGCTTACTGAGACTGTTTCAAAAGTCCCTAAAATCTTGGCAATGAAAGGGAACAAAGCTATAAGCGTATACTATGATTTCGTCAAAGAGGTTATAGTAGCTGATAAGAGTTCCAAATTCGAAAACTTATGTCATTCTTCTTTGCCACAAGAGGGTAGTAAACATAGGAATAGAATCCGGAATGTATCGGTTCTGAGACAATTAGGTGTGCCTCAAAAGAAATTATTCTCATTGCTTACATCTGAGCTTGTCTCTGGAAAAGAAAGATTTGAAGAATCCCTCAAGAAGGTTGTTGACATGGGCTTTGATCCAACCACCTCAAGTTTTGCCCAAGCTCTGCATGGTTTTCAGGGATTGAGCGACAAAACGATAGAGGAAAAAGTCAATGTCTATAAAAGGTTAGGCTTTGCTGTGGAAGATGTATGGGAAATGTTCAACAGGTGGCCAATCTCTCTGAGATCATCGGAGAAGATGATAACTCACAAGTTTGAAACCCTGAAGAAGTGTGGACTACTCGAAGACGAGGTCCGCTCAGTGTTCAAGAAGTGTCCGCAATGCATTCATACTTCAGAACAGAAGATAGAAAGCTGCTTTGAAACATTTCTAGGCCTAGGATTTAGCAGAGATGAGTTCACAATGATGTTCAAGCGCTTTCCTCAGTGTCTTACTCTATCGGCAGAGACGTTGAAGAAGAAGACTGAGTTTCTGGTGAAGAAGATGAACTGGCCACGAAAGGCTGTGGTTTCAAACCCTTCAGTACTTGGATACAACCTGGAGAAGAGGACTGTCCCAAGGTGTAATGTAATCAAAGCTCTCATGTTCAAAGGATTGCTCGCAAGTGAACTCCGTTCAATGTCGTCTGTATTGGCAATTACGGATCCAGCTTTCTTAAACAAGTATGTCAAGATACATGATGACAAGGAGCTTGTGGCTGAGCTTATGGCTATCTTCACCAGAGGTCGTGTTTCATAGATCGGAACCTCTCATGTCAATGACTCGTTCTTTAAATCTTAGACTTGGGAGAATAACATAAAAATGTGACCTTTCCTAGTCCTTCTGGTCAAAGAGGTTTTAACGATATTGTGGACAATGTTAAAAGGTGGACTAATTTTCTCTCTTATTGATCAACAAAGGTAAACAGAAAGAGAGAGCGAACTAGGCCTCATCAAGTTTTTCTTTTACAAATTTGACCAAAACAAAACAAATATGAGTTATATAGAATTTTAAAATTTTTTATTGTATTTGATTCTTTTATCAAAAACTTTATTGATAAGAAGATGGATTATTTTTTAAAGGTTTTCAAAAACATATTATATTATGTATGTAGCATATAATAACTCATTAGTTTTTCTTTAACTTAAAATAAATAAAATTTATTATATCTTCAAAAGAAATTATAAATTGTGGAAAATAACATGATATAAATGATAAAAGTCGACATAGAAAATGCATCTTATAGTTTTTTTTTTGTTTGTAAGAAATTACGAGTTACAATTGGAGGTCAATTTATAAGTTTTGTTATTTAGTCAATTGAAATTTTTGGCACATTAATTATTTTTCAGATAAGTTATTTTGTTGTGTTATTTAATGTTTAGTCAATTTTTAATTTTTACGCATTTTAGTTAATGTTTAGTCAATTTTACATTTTTACGCGTTAATTATTTTAGTATTAAAGTTTTAAATTTAAGAAATAAGTATACTTTTTTCTAAAAAAAACTATAGGATAGTCAATCCGACATGATAAGATTGAAAATTTTATCTTTACAAATTATACGTCTTATCTCTCTATTTATATCTGCAATTGTATTTTTTTTCTCACACACCAAATAAAATAATAAACCTCAAAAAGAGAGATATCATATCAAAATGTGATATGGGACGGAAAAAAATAAAACTTGCATGGGTGGCGAATAAATATAAAAAAGATGCGAGCTTGAAGAAAAAGATAGTAGCATTGGTGAAAAAGGTTAGCGAACTAACAATATTGTGTGATGTAAAAACTTGTATGATCGTGTTCAGCCCTAAAGAGGTTGAATCAATGATGTGGCCATTTGTTGAGGAGGCTCAAGACCTCATACACGATTTCTATACCTTGCAAGAATTTGAGAGGACAAAGAACGAGACGAGTCTCGAGTCATACTTGAAGGAGAAGACAAGGAAAGTTGAAGAGAAATTGATGAAGATTCGTGATAAGAAAAAAGAGTATACGGTAGATCAATTGATGGTGCAACTAAATCATGGTCGTAAAATTGGTGATCTTAACTTGCATGAGATCCATGGATTGCTATCTTTCTCAAAGGATAAGATTATTCATTTCATGAATAGGCTAGGTTTCACGTAATATCCTCCTATTCACGATCCACCGGTGAATCTGTTTGATGCAGAAACTGAGGACTTTAGAACCACCACAAATGATGTTTTCATGATAGAAGGCGGTCAAGACGATGAAAGAGCAGGGAATACTTATGAAGCATCAAAGAGGATTAGCATTTATAATGTAATAAGGGATAATCAACGTCATTACTTAATAGATCAATGAGTTTTTGCATCTTCTGAACCTCTTAGCGCTCAAATCTACCAGACAATTGAGATAGAAATGGAATCTTACAACCAAAATCCATACCCTATAAGAGATATTTCGTACCAAGAAAATAGTAGTAGCGATTACATGAATATCAATAACGATTCACAGTTTCAAAGGAGCACCAACACTATATCGACCAACGATGGTCTCCGTCAAGAGTCACTACCACCTCCACCTAATGGAGCATTTTTCAAGAAGGTAATATAATATGACGTCGTTTGATCTCAATATATAAGGATTTTCCGGAAAATACAATCATCAATTCTAGGATTGATATTATGTTTTTGAGTTTGGTATGAATTATTTTAAAACTGTAGTTCAGTGTTTTTTTAATGTTTGTGTATTTGTTTACTTTACTATTTATGAACTTTTAAAACTTTTTATCTCAATCTTGATGTCCAACTAGTTGATATTTCGTGACGTGAATTCAACCATGGTGTATTTGATAAACTTCAACATATTTATCCCAATTATACATTTTCATGAGTAACATATTATTAAATACTAGTTACTAAAATTTATATAATATAAA